ACGATTCGAAAAATTTATTATAACATAACCAAAGTAAAGCGCGCGCTCTGATTGGTCAATTTAGCGTCCCCCATTTGCCCATGGGTGTACGCTGCTGACGTGAGCAAATGCAAAGACTATTTTTCCGCGCGCGCTTGTTTTTTCTGGTCGCGTAAGATTTGTTAAATAAAAGGGAACTCTTTAGCTACAATGTATCAATGTTATGTTATAAAACAAATGGTAAACACCACAGCGTACACTATTGAGTTATGGATGCACTTGGGAGGTTTGCTAAGCACTCAAGAAGCTAGAGTCGCTCTCGGCTATCGCCTCGAGCGACTCTTACGCTTCTTTCGTGCTTAGCAACCTCCCGCGTGCATCCATAACTCAATAGTGTACACTGTGGTGTTTACCATTTGTTAATTATCAATTCAGTTGATAAGACCAAATTATCTCGCAATACCCCCCACTGACGCAGCACCACGATATCTTTAGAAACACACCCTCTTTATTCATTTGTCTGTATCATTGTCTTTATTTATTTACGTGCATCTCTGTCTGACTGCCTGCATCACGGGCCGCTGTGTCTGTCTATATCACTGACTGACTGTCTATTTGTCTTTATCATTATCTCACAGTCTGTCTGGGTGTATGTCTGTCTACATAACTCTCTGACTGTCCAGGAAATCTGTCTATGAGCAGAGACGATAGGAATACTCATTTTAGAACTGGTTTCGTTTTGTTACAGGTCCATCAGCACAAAGTCCAGCCGTTTTATCCCGTGAGATTCTTACCAGCGTTTTTTCTAACATCAGCCTAACATGTCAGATGGATTTTGATGGCAATTGTTTTGAGGAGTTACAGTGGTCCAGAGGAAATAACACGAGTTTTCTGGAAGATAGCAAAAAGTACAGAATAGAAGAAAGAGCAACGAGCAATAAGTGTAAGATTGACTACGTTCTTTCTATTTTCAACGTCACGGAGAATGATGAAGGCAGATACATTTGCCATTGGGAATGCGAGGACGACCCCAAGAAAGCTGTCATTGTCTTGAAAGTATTTGCTGATCTTCCTACGACAGGTAATAAATAATTCATTAATCTCGGTTGAGTCAAATTTGCATGCAGTTCAAATCGAGGTTATTTTCGGGCCTTAAAACTTTCGACTGAAAAACAACTCGTCACTTGACTGTTGTGGTCAAAAGTCTTGACGAGAATTTTCTACAAGGGAGGGGTAGGGGACCACAAGTAACACAAGTGTCCGACATTTTGGAGGCAAAACAGTTTGTAAATAATTTACTTTTGATTTATGAGTACTTTAATATTGACATTTGATAAAAACATGAATGAGTATTCTATCTAGATCCCAGTCGCTTAGGAGGGTTGTTATGGGTGGGGCATTCATAACAGTGAAATGGAAAAACTGAGTCAGGTGCTTTTGGATAGATGCTCTAAGTTTGAAATTACAAGGTGAAGTTTGCACGTTAGAAGCAAGTGAAGAACTAGTCATGTTCCGTACAAAGCCCTCATAATAGTTTCTTAGTTTAATCAAAGTAATTACCGAGAAAAAAGAAATTTCTATGGCATTTTGTTGGCACGACTACCTACTCCGGTATTTTGTATCTTGCATGGCAGTTTGGCCGTTTACCGGTGACGTAACAAAGTGCCACCCTTTCTTAATCATCTCCTAACGATCTCATGCTTGAACGTTTCAAAGCCGAGTACAAAAATAAGCTAAAAGCATTTGTGACTCAAATAGTTATTTTTAGCGTCAACCAGTCAACAGGAGTTGTGGTTTCGAGTGGGGAGGCCAGGTTGCTGATTTTTTTTCAAAATGGTGGCGTCCATACCCAGTTGAGTATTTGGCACCCTGACAGACGATTTTTGAACCTGCTGGTTATTCTGTGAAATCTCAAATTGGGTTAAGTAGCGAATTTGTATAGTATACTTCAAGTGCAGAGCTAAAAGCGTTGATTGGATAAGTGAATATCTTTGTTACAACTGTACATGTCTATGTAAAGATGATAGGCTTTTCCGGCTCTCATTTTCAGGAACCGTAAATCAGACAAACACCGTCTTGGCTCCCTCTTCTCGCGAGGGTAAGTACCAACCAGTGCAAAACATGGCCTTTGCGAATGATTCAATTTTTTTAAAAAATCTAATTGCGAGTTCATGTACTTGTATTTGAATTTTTTTTTTTTTGCATGTTGCCAACTGAAAGGAGGTCGCCAAAAATGGCTGCTGCCAATCATCATTCTATCAGCAGTTAGCGTGGCCGTCGTTTTCATGTCGTTCCTGCGGTTTGGTTTCAAGAAAAAGTGGACATCATCTTATAAGATACAAAAACGTAAGTTGAAAACAAATATGTTTTCATAGTATCAATAAGAGTGAAGTTTTACCGTAATGACTCGGTTTAACCCCCTCGTTCCAATAAGCGCTCCCTCTTTGGTAAGCGCCCCCCTGGAATTTGTTCGTAAGCAGCCTCGTTATCATAAGGACCCCTATCACAATGGGCTCGCCTATTCTCAAAAAAGGGCCCTGTTTCGAGTAAGCTCCTCCTAGAGGTATCAAAGGTATATTAGTAAGCGTTCCGGACGATATATCGAATCATTACGGTATTTCCACTTTTATCAGTTTACAGATGAACGCTACATTTTTAACGTGCAAATCGTTTATTACAGAAATGAAACGTTTGCTGTAGACCACGGCCTTATTCGAAAAACTGCTTTCTGGTCATTGTGCTATCTCACTCATTCTACTGCTGTTCTTGTAATTATTTCCTTTCATGAAATTTACTTAACCTCTTTCATAAGGACACTTTTATATCGAGATTGCGCTCAACAAATAGGCTATTTACGAGTTGTTAATAGCCTCACTTTCAAAATGAGACTAGGTGCGAAAATTCTCTGCTGAAAATGAGTTTATTAATTTATTTATTTATTTATTACAATTTAATGGCAATTAACAAAATAAAATAATTACTTATAACAAAGGAAATGGCATAAGGATGGTCTGTAAAAGAGTCCAAGAGCCCATCCTCAGACAGACTACCTAACTAAATATTTAGTTTGAAAACATAATTCAATATAATTGATCTAATTGATATAATTAATTAAAATCTGATATAAAAATTCTAAAATATGTGACTATGAATTTTCGGTAATTTTACCAGTGTAGTTGGGTTTCATTAAGAAGTTCCTCACACCCCGCTTAAAACGTGAGATACTATATAATCACATTGAAATTAATTTCCATGTCAAATGATTCGACATTGACCTCTATTTAAGGCAGAGGCTCAGGGCATTCCGGAGATAGCCCCTTCGGGTTTCACCATTAAATAGATCATTCGCCCTTACCACATGCTTTTGGATGTAGAGTGAAAGAAATACTAATGTTATATCTATTTTTCAAATTCATAGTGGAGGGCATCAAAGAAGGAGATCTCATGAATCGACTATTTATCAGCTTCAGCTCAAAAGATTTAGCCTGGGTCAACGAGAATCTTATTTCAGTTTTTGAGAAGCATTCCATAGCTTACAGTATTCACAGCCGGGACTTTGAGCTTGGGAGGCCAATCGTCCAAAACATGGCGGACAATGTGTATGGCAGCCGTCAGGTTTTGATTGTTTTATCTCCGAATTACCTCGCCAGTAATTTCTGCCGGGAGGAGCTGCATATGGCCATCCAGAGGGGGATAGACTCAGGAGAATCGTCACTAATTCTTGTGATGATCAACAACTTGAAGAAAAAGCAACTTCCGGCTGCTTTGAGAAACAAAAAGATGCTGGACTTTGACAAACATAAGAAGAAACAAGATTGGGAGGAGAAAATACTGCGTGAAATCATAGAAGGGAAAACTACGAGTGTTTAGAAGCCAGCCGGCTGCAGTGTTAACGTTACTCATGCTAGAGTCGCGGAAGGTTTAATATCATTACTTTTAAGTAGATAGAGTAATTTTTCCCAAAGATTATTTTTGCAGAGACGGGTAGATATGAGCAATATTTGATAAGAGGGAAATTAACAGGATTGCTTTCTTCTCTAACATCATATGCAATATCCAAAGTAATAAAACCAAACTCGCTCGTAAAGCGAGCCTTCTCCCAAGTTGGCTGATGCGATTCCTACAGTATTGATTTCAAGATACTCAAAGAAAAGCACTCGAAGTAGTTGTAGGTAAGTTAGTACCTAATAACTTTTACCTGGCTTTTAACACCACGTTTTTGCGTGATAGTGTACTTTCATTTGGTATTGGTCTTCCATGGTATAAGATCAGAAAACATGTTAAAATGATAAATGCGAAAAAGCTGTAAAATAATCGCTCTTTAAATCGTTGTGCTGTTAAAAGTTGATAAAATTGTTGCTGAAATGTGTAGTTTAGGGTTAGGAAGGAATTTCTGCAAAAATTTCTTGGGTTGGGTTTAACGCGAAAAAGGAGGTGTACTATCATTTTGAACATCATTATTTCTAGAATCATTTATAGATATTTATCTGAGCCTGAAAAAGACAACTGCAATACATATAAGAGCTAACAATCTAAAAAATATGTAGGAAGTTGTGAGCTGCTTTTAACTCAGTAAGTAGAGTAAAAGCTTTAATGTGTCGATGTAGTTTTCACAACTAATTGGGGACACACAACAAAAACTAAGTAAATTGATGGATAAGATAAAATAGAATTATTTACAAATAAGAAATTATGTATAAATGTATAAATTGTACATTAAAAAAGTAGGTATATAAAATGTGGTCTCTCAGAGTTGCACAGGTCACAGCAGCCATTGTTGTTGTTTCAGAGGGACGCTAGGTCTTTTTTTCCTGATGTTCTTTTTAAAGATTCAATATTCAAGGAGCCTTTCAATTTATTGTCCAGTTTTGACCATATATGAGGTCCTAAGAGAATGTTTTCCATAGTTAATAGAATTATAAGTAGGAATTTCAAAATCACCGTTTCTTAGTGGAAAACTAATGCCTTTCTACTTAAATAGTTCGCGAAGATACTGTAAAGTATCGTGAAGAGAAACAATGCATTTGCCGTGACCGAATCACACACTTGAAAACTGAGACCAACTGAAGAACATTTTTCTACTTTAAGAGCAAGTTTCCATAACATTGATAGTGACTGAAAAAAGGTCACGATGCTTCTTTGTAACAAACTGTGCCTTCCATTCTTTTTTTCATTTTCTCTGATCGTAGAAATGTTCACGAGTGAGATTTTTTCCCAGTTTACCGGAGCATTCAAGTGATAATATCACTGAAGGTACCTTGCGTTTCAACCTGCGCATGCTTCTAACCGCAATGGGCGCGCGCGCGATGACGAAATAAACGTGCGCTACCATGGCAATTGAAAAAGATCAGCAAATATACAGATGATCTGATCTGCAGCGCAAGGATCGAATTGGTGATCAGAGAGTGAAGCTAATTAAGATTTCAAAACATTTCTTGTTTTCAAATCTGGTCAAGGCCAGGAAAGATAGAGTGTTATTGTTGCAAATTTTAAAGTTTTGGAAAAGAAACAACGACTTTATTCACGGCAAAAGAAAATTTGAGATTGAGCGCACTGAGCGAAGACTTAAACTGATCAGGTAAGTGGAAACTTTTCACTGCGTTTTTTTTTTTCCATGTTGTTGTTGTTGTTTGCGGGTAAAGTAGTCCAGTCCCGCTCATCGTTCTGAGATAGCTGGAAAAAGAGAAGCAATTTACACTCTATTAGAACAATTCCCTTTCCATAATGAAAAATTCTAGAAACAAAACTAGGGCGTCGAAAATTTGTTTGATCGGTGAAAAAGTGCATTCTTCGGTGATTGCATTATTGCATTAAAACGCTATTTCCTGCAAACCATGGAGCCTCTTGCACTCAAGAGAAACAAAACAATTACTTCAATTTGGTTATTGAACTATTGTTAGAAGAATCGCATTATAGAACTAAGCAGAATTTCATGCTCTGATTATGTTTGCTCTCATGCCTTGGAAAAAGACTTTCCTGCAGAAGTCTGATTGTGATTGATAGTCACCTTAGATAGATAAGTCACCTTAGAAACAAACATTCTAATGGCGACGAAAAACCTCTCTCATCTCCTTGATTGATTCTAAACCGAAAGTTTGTTAACTAAGCGAGCTAAATTGATGTGGAAAAGCATCAGGTTATCACTTGTTTTCCAATCCCTTCTGTTTCACTCAGACATGTGGTGCAACTCATCAAATACCAGCGAACCCTCAAAGTTCCCGCAAGAAAACTCCACAGATGCATATCTGTCGTATGGCGGTGGAAAACTGCCATCGGGCTTCATTTTACAAAAAAATTTCCAACAGACCCCAAACAAAAATCTACTGGTACCTCAGCCTCAAATCCAATACTACACATGGAGTAATCCAGCACAACTGATGAATTATCCAGTTGCGCATGCTTCTCACATGGGCCCAGTCCACGGGCAGATGCCCTACACGCCTTATTCACAACAGCCACTTTCAAATGCGGTAAGTCAAAGTTATGTTTGTTTAAAAGCACCCTCATGACCTTCCACTTACCATAAAAAAATGTGCCAACGTCCCTACTGATTGTCGCAATTAGTGAATCAGTTTGATTTCAGGAATGAGGATCCTTTAGAAATATACCATTGTGAAGGGTACAGGATTAATGGGTTAATTCATACCATTATCGACTCATCGGTTGAGAGAAATCTCATTATACTATTTACGCGTTCTCGGTGCAAAAGTAGTCCACATTAGATGTGATATCAGCTCATCATTATAGGGATTTTTTTTTAAGAATCGAGACAAGGAAAAAGTATCCCTTTAGTTTTCCAAACATTTCAATGCAAGCTTTAATTTCGTCTTGACAATTCAAGCATATTGAACATTGTATTTTTCCTCAAAAACAGGGAAAGACTGTACTTGTCAACAAATTTAACAATGTACGTCAGGATAATGAGTTCCTGGCCGAGGAAATGGAAGAGCAAAAGCAAAGGAACAGCTTACTTATGCAGCGTATTACAGACTTGCAGAAAGAATTGAAAACTGTGCAGCAAACCGCTGCTAATCTCTACAACGAATGCCAGTCCATCGATGAAACATGTGAAAGATTTTCCAAACAGCTTGATGAAGAGAAAAATAAATTGTCGGAGACTGTGACAAAAACGAGACGCGACATTTCAAAGGTTAAAGTTGATGCTGAGTTGGTGGCGACTCTACGAGAGGAGAAAGACAGATCTGTTTTGGAAATCGCGCGTCTCCGTGACGATGTTATTGATGCTGAAATTGACGTCGATAATCTGACGATAAAATTCCAGTATGAACTTGGAAAAATGGTGATATTTCCCTTCTGGAAGCTGGAAGAGGAAATTGATAAAGTTCTTCCTCGCTGTGGTTTAAAATCCTATGTTGAGGAAAGCAGCAAAGAGCAAATTGGTAACAACATTAGTGGCCGTTTCTGTCAAGAAAGGGTAAGTGATCCGATCAAAAGTCATATTTTTTCCCTTCCATGAGAACTGCTGACGCGACAGTAGATTTCTGCCAAACCAAGATGGCCGACGGATATGACTCTTGTTCTAAAGCTAACTCATTGAAAGAAGATGGGTCGAAACTTGACAAATAGGTCACACCCAGAATTTTCTGCATGTACCAACTGTTAAGTATTTGGTTCTTGTTAGTGGTTGAACTTAGCTGACTTTTGTTGTTAAATGCGATAACTATATGATCGTTCTTTTTCTTACATTAACAGTTCCCATCAGGCTCCAATGAGAGCTCAGAGCGAAAAAAGTCGGACGACAGTTTGGAGGAAAACTCGGCAGAAAACTCTGCAGAACAGTCAGGGAGTAGTTCCCGAGAAAGCTCAGAAAAAGATAACGTATCAGATACATCACAAATAACAGTCATAAAAATCAACATTCCGGCAGAACATAGTTGCTCTGTCGACAGAAGTTCGTCAATGAATGAGTCTGTTTCGAACCAATCCAGTCCTCCATCTGTCAATGATGGTTGCGTGGAAACTGGCGGTGAATTTGTTGAAGATTTGTCATTTGCTCACAGTAAAACTCCAACAAAACCGGGAAAAAAGGTAAGCGTATTCACTGCCTTTTAGGGTGTATATCACTGAGTCTGTATGTTTATGGTTTATAAATGCCATTAGATGATAAAGTTGTTTTTTGCTTTCGAATCTCTGAGATAGGTCAAGTTATGCAATAAAAAAACTGGTTCTCAGTCTCAAATGTTCAGTTTTTGAGATCTTGACGTAAGCTTTGAAGTTAGTTGACCTCACCTTTCAACATCACAAAATTTGAACAAGAGAGGTTTGTTGTAGAAAACTATTCTGATCTCGAAATCGCTGAATTGTACTGACCCGTGGCTTGATATATCTGAGTACCTTATTGAATGGCCTGGATACCAGCATTCATACAGACCCAAATGTGATATGTGATTGTTTTAGATCCCGGTATAATTTTCTATTCTAATTGTCATCACATATTA